TGTCTTGCCAATACTCTCGCAGCATGCACTTGAAAGGCCAACAGGCCTGCTGGAAGAAGCATTTCGTCTGTGCACTAGAGAAACCTAGTGACTCAATCTGGTTTGCAAGTGAAATTGTGGCAGCACTTTTGCTTGAAGTGTTGATGATTGCTAATCATATAAAGGGAGTCTGGTCTTACCAGATTATCATTCTTCAAAGTTTGCGGACGCACCTGAAAACGGACGATCGGCGTGCGTGGATGCCTGGTGCCCCGTTGATCGCAATGTGAGTGACCCGTTGCCGGCCTGGAGTGGACGGATGATGACAGGTCGACTGGTGCCGTCCACTGGTTACCAACTGGGAGGATCTGACGTACAAGCATTGGATGGTGCTTGCTTCAATCTTGAAGGCCTTCATCTCATCCACCACATTGACCAAAAAGCCTGGAGAGCCAAACGCTGGCTCTCTTGTCTCTGAAATGTCAGTTTGAAGCCACATTGTGTTTCATCTGCACAAAACAGAATGGTCATCCATGTGCCCAATCTACCCTTGAAGAATGGTGATTTGATGCTTCACCTGGCGCATCGTTTATAGTGTGGGTGCGCTTAGGGTATGGGTTGGGTGTCTTGATGCCTTACCATTTGCCTATAAAGAAGCAGAACTCAAATGGTCATCCATGTGCCAAGAAAACTTCACCCGGCATCGGCATCCTTGTCTCCGTTTGTCTGTTACAGGCCTCAGTTGACACTTTCTTTCAAAGCAGAGTGTGAACTCCGGAGTTTTTGTTCTCACTTCGCTTGAAATCACATTGGGTCCGATCACTTTCTTCCAAGATTGGGACGCTACTAGGAACAAAGGGCATCGCTATTAGGAGCAAAGGACCCTACTAGGAGTTGACCTTCCTTGGATGCGCTTCGCTCGGCATTCCGTCCCTGTCTATCGCCGCTGGTCGAGTGACTGAAGTTGCGCACAGGCAAAATGCCAAGGTCATAATCCCCACCACGTTCGTGATCCTCGATCTCATCACCTGGAAATGACTGTTGTTTGAAGTTCAGGCACTGGGGCACTGGCCATGATGGCTTTCGGCTTTCGACTGGATCCAAGCCCTATGTTCCTTTCATTGCTGGAATACTCCAAAAGTACCGGCTAAAAGGCTACCTATCTTTGGGAGTCTGGACAGTGAAAGCACCCGTGACTCAAAACGCAGGCCGCCCTTCGTGCGCACATTCCCAGCACGCCGCATTCGAGACTATATAAGTATCCAGTCAGTTCATATCCAGTCAGTTCATCAAGTCAAACAGCGTGAAATGTTCAAACAAACATCCTGAGCTCAACCGATCCCAGTTCCCCACTGTTCAGGTCCTATTTGGGCCACACCTCGGCTACGAGGAGCTCGACCTTTCTCCTCGCCCATTCGACCGAGGCACTCAGGGTCCCCGCAGGCATCTCAGTGCCAAACAGGCTCACCGGAACCACCAGAAACCTGACAAATGCAGTCTTCACAGCGATCTTCCCGGGATCGATCGATAGAAAAATGCGTTCTTCAAAGGCAATAGGACCTACCATGCGATATGATAGCATGTCACTATCCAGCCTTTTCCATGAAGAGCAGCATCACATAGTTACTTACTGGAGAAGTTGTCACCCTTCCAGCCCCAAATAAGCGGAATATTCTGCCAGCTTGGGACAGCATTGCATGGTCGGATGGTGTGTGTGTGTGTGTGCGCGCGCGTGTGTGTTTGCATCTCTTGTTCCCCTGGAATTCCAACCAAGTGGACCCCACATTCGTAAATCTAGACAGGTGAGTTTGGGCTGTGGGGTATATGTCTTGGTGTGTTCTTACAAAGAGAGATTGTCTCCAAGAGCTGCTGAAATATGTGTGTGTTAAACAAGTGTTGGTGAGTTAGGTGCGCGAGGAACAATGCTGATCAAATCTCCTAGGTGGAATGTTGCCAAATCACTTCCACCGGATCTCTCAACCCACTCAACCCAACAAGTGCGGGTCCGAAGCACGTAGCCGTGGCAAAACATGCACTCATTTCACTCCATGAATGCTGGGTGCAGCCTGATGGCAATTCTTTTGTCAGCCTTGTTCTGCCTATGTTATTGAAGTGTCCTTTTACATTTAAAGGCCACGCAGTTGCCTATGATGGCACTTCCTCCTGAGTCTTTTCAAGCAATCCCTTTTTCGTTCGAGCGACTTGCAGCAATCCGCTCTCAAGGCGTCAATGTCAAATTAGATACAAAGTTGAAACAAGTTACAGTATGTTGGTTTGAAAGCGTCCACCACGACATGTGCAAAGGAAAAGGTTTCCCATCGCCTCTTGTAGCCGGTCGGAAGCACTGTGAAGATATGTGCTCGGTACGAATCCTTGGTGCTTGGCAGAAAGATACTCTGTTAGCCAAATCTAGCTTGTAGCATTTCAACGTGATCAAATCCCATTGCTTTGAAAGAATAGATGTTGAAACATTAGAGTGGAGGCCATCGCTATTAGGGTGGAGGCCATCGGTAGTCTAAGCCGTTTCCCATGCGTTGTTCTACTAAGGGGTACCCGTTCGCCCCCGCGCAGAGAATTACAGTAGAAAGTAAACAAATATGTCTACCGTTTTCACCGCGCGTGTGGTAAACAAATAAAGGCGACCGACTCAGGAAAAAACGGTGTTTAAAAAAGAACATTATATACAATATATATATATATATGTGTGTGTGTGTGTTTTCCGTTTTTCTGTTTTTACCCCGCGTGTGGTAAAAAATAAAAATAAATAAGGCGACCGACCCAGGAAAAACAGCAAAAAAGATCGATCTTTGCCATTGTTACTGCACGTGAAACATTTGATTGCGCGGATCCTTATAACAGAACTACCCGGGAAAAAAATGGCAGGAAAAGAACACTATATTTGCACATTTGCACTGCACTTATATTTTTTGTTATAAAATACAAATAAAAAACAAAGCATAACAAAACAAACGGGCGACCGACCCTGGACATAACAAAAAAATAAAACGATGTTTACCGTTTTCACAGCGCGTGTGGTAAAAACATAAAGGCGACCTACCCGCGAACAAAGGAATATATATATATAATTACCTTTTTCTGTGTTCCCGTTTTTACTGCGCGTGCGGTAGAAAAAATGAGTGCGACCGGCCCGGGAAAAACAGTGAAAAAAGAACTGTGACGATTTTTACCGGTTTTACCGCGCAGGTGCCTCGTGGCCATCGCTAGGGTGGAACCTCTGAATCATTGTTGTCCGAAGTGCTACTCGGCAGCACTGGCTCTCCTCAGGGTCCTTGGGCACCACTGCCAACGCGCGGGTGACGCGTCGGTTCAGCTCGTCCACCAGGTACACCTTGAGAGGAGTCCAAGCAAGGTCCGTTTAAACGAAGACCAGTTTGGAATCAATGTGCTGAAAAGGAAGATGTAGCTAAACTTTTGGACCTAGGTGTCTTCCCAAATCCAGTATCACAGGCAATACTATACACCATTTATAGATTCACAATGATTCACACCGCTTTTGCTCGGTTCACCGTGGTATGGCTTGCAAGCTGCAAACACACTGGGCATGTCTAACAATCGGTGCGTCATGCGTCACAGTGGAGCACCTCTCCGTGGTACTCGACCTTCTCAAAGAAGGGCTCAAAAGACTCAAAAAGCTCCCCTTTTGGTGTTCGACCAATCAGACAAATCAGAAGTTCGACCAAGGAGCCCTGTACTCGACGATGGGGTCCTGCCGGAACCAGACCGGACGTCAGTCAGAACGACACCACAGTGGCTTTTCGTTGGGTCTATGTGGCAGGATCATCGCTTACCTCTTCGCAAACAGACCTGCATAGACGCATGATGCCTAACACAGCATGTTCACTCAGTCAAAATCTCCAAGTGGTGGCACGAAGGTCCAAATTCCAAAGCCACTCCCCTCCGAATGCAACCAAGAAAACAACAGATTCCATGTTGTTGCAAAATATACTTTCTGCCAGAGGGATTCACTTCTCCGCTCAGAAAACCAGTCCTCGTTGATCACTGACCTTAGCAAAGCACTGGAACTGACTTTGAGAAGGGATGTACAAAGGGCTCCTCATGGCTCCTCATGGCTCCTCTCTATCAGGGTCCGGTGGACCCCCATCACCGACCACGTCCAGAAAAAGCAGATTGTGCTCAGACCGCTCCAAGCTGCTCGATGGAGTTTTGTCCAAAGTAGATGTCTGACTCATAGTAGCCCTTGCGAGGGTCCTCAAGATACCGAGGCTGTTCCACACCTCTGTGCGCTGTCTCTTACATCATCCGCAATATGTCAAGAAAATGGGTGGTGTCTGGCAGTCTGAAAGGCGAAAGTTTTAGTGGATCAAATGTGCAAAGTCTCACTTTGCACGAAGTGAGCACTCGATGTCAAGACTGGCCAGTTGCAACTCAGCAAGGAGCGGTGTTCCCGTTGTCGTCTGGCACGAAAGGAACTCTACTGTTCATGAATTGTCTCCCTTTCTGGGGCCGTCCTGATCTCGACCTACCTGTCCAAAGCCACACACACGGCAGCGGGCCCTGGGAAGTATGTCGCTAGCATCGGGCAAGTACGACCTGGGATGGAGACGAGAACCAAAGAATCGGGACGTCTACTGCCAACACCTGATGCGGAGGAGTCGCTTCTATGCTTCCCAGGCTCAATCCTGAATTTAAAAGACTAGGCACAGCAATATAGGAAGCTGGGACTCGCACCAAAACTCACCCGAATCCATGATTTTTGGCCAGTGACTGAGGGGTCAAGTCCTCATAAACCTACCACATGTTTATACTCCTAGCAAATATGTTGAAATAGAGGCCCCCCCCCGGCCCCCGGCTCTTCAAAATGGCTCTCCAAGTCCATTCCCGTCTCTTCAATCCTGTTGTCGTCCGACTTGGCCCAAGGCTCAATATCAAGGTCCGAATGGCCGCGACGTCAGGAAAAGCCTACTGATTATTGCTGATTTAGAACACCGACCATGCATGTCAAACCATCCAGGGTGCTGTATCAGCCATGATGACAAGTGTCAAACCTCCTGGACCCTGGGACCGACCCCTGCACCCCTGCAGCACAGGGGCAAGTCGACGTTGTTTTGTGGGCAAGTGAGTTGCAAAGCGGTGCTATACTCGACGCAGGGGTCCACCAAAAGCTCCGGGACACATGCTTCGCCTGGCAGGGAATTGACGAGGCTGTGCCAATCCATTCGAGGATTGAAAGAAGCTAAGGAGGTGTCAAGGTTGCTCCACAATACCACAAGGCATCCACATAAGCTTGCGTTGCTGAACCAAGTCGAATAGAAATTGTAGAACCCCTTTAAGGTTTCACAAGACTTCTCATTATACAAATGGGCAAGCACTGAAGAGTCAGACTGAAATCCCTCCACGACAGAATGCCAGGTGCATCCTACCTGACTGCATCACGTCACAACCTTTCAGTGCGTAGAGTGGGCATAGTCTTGCGCAGGATTGGATGATGATGGTGGTGCTGGTTCTCGTCCGCGTCGCACCTCGTTGGCAACTTTGTCATAGGCAAAAGTTCATTCTGCCGCCGAGGCTGACTCAAAAATAGTAGGCACATGGATCACAAACACACATTTTATTGGTGTTGTGGTCCTCAAATTAACCCTCCCAACAATTGTCGTCAACCCTTCCTTTCTTTTTCTGTACGAGAGGGGATCCAAGGCCAAAATCTTTCCGGAGCTGTCCCTGGTGCCTACCCTTTGCCATCCCTCCCAGTTCTCTCAAACAACACATGACCTTACGATCTCTCCTTTTCACTCCAGGCACTGCTCGTGGTCGTTGTGGTGCGGGAAGTGGTGGAACTGGTGGTAGTAACGCTGGTCCGGGTCATGGTGATGCTACCTGGCAGTTCTTCGCAGACCAGGTGACCATGGATGTTAACCACCCAGGCCGAGCATTCCAGGTCGATCTTGGCCCTTCTCAATTTGAATGGCCCTCTGATCTCCAAAAGGTGTCCACCCTTACATGCTGGTTCGCTCCCCTGTCGCTCCCCTGAACAACTGGTTGTACCCAGAGTGAAAGATTGTCCCGTTCAATCCACTACAAGTAAGACGCAAGCAGGCCTTCTTAGTGCGACGCGCTTGAATCCCAAAAGCCCTCAATGATGTGATCCAAACCGCAGATTTGACACTTCAAAGGTGCTTGTGGTATTGCTCATGGAGGTTGTGGTTGAGGAGACGCTGGTGGTCACAGTGATCTGTGTGTTCGTCGTAGGCCTCAGCACAAAGAGGGCCCTTGGCCAAGCAAAAAGCGTCGGTGCTTTTCAGTCTGCTCTTTTTAGGTGGGGGAAGGTGAGAAACAAGGATTCTTCAAGGAGGCTTCTCTAATCTGAGGGCGCGCAAGGAGCTTGCCGAGACTCCAAAACAATATGAGTCCTTTTCACGATCAGAATTCCGATCATGCAAGAAAGAAAAGTTGTAACTTTGGAGTGTGATGCAATCAACGGCCTAGGCAAGAGCATACTATTGTGCACATATCAAGTGTCTGGTCTAAGAAATGGTTGGAGCTGTGGCATGCAAAGGGTGATTAGCTGTCACCAAGTGTCAATTTGCCTGGCCTACAGCCTATACCTTGTACCAACCCAAAGTTGAGCTCAGCCCATGAAGGTCCAATACAAGCTGCTCTGCCACCTTCTGTTGAATATGCACCAATCCCCTTATCAACCTGAAGCTTCTTTGACAGGAAATCTTGTCTGGGCTTTGCCCACCGGCCGTGTTGAGGTTCACCAACAAATATACGCAGATCCTAGATTGAAACAATCGAACTGCTCCTTCAGTGACCGAACTATGCCGATCTTCTCACTCACTCTTGGGACATGTGGCGTGGTGGTGGAAGAGGTCTTAGACGATGAGGTCGCCGTGCTGGTCGTGACGGTCAGGGTGGTGTTTGTCCCCTGAGGCAAAGATGGCTTGGAAACATCCATGGAGACATGTTGGTATCTGTCCTGATCATGCGAATGATATATTATATAGATAGTCTTTGATGAGCTGCGTTGGTATAACTCTGCGTGCCCAGCGATCATGTTCATAACGACACGGTCAGCAACTTCATGAAATGCCGGACATCTGCAGAAATACCAAGTGTTTGAATCATGTTCAGCTTGCGTACTGGTGACCATCTACCCAGCGTAGGCCGCACCAAAGCCATCCTTTCAGCACTTGGGGGTCGTCCCAATCATTGCAATTGTTGTCCGCTTCTCGGGTGAAATGCTAAGCGCCTGTGAAGTCCTATCACCCAAAAGTCGTATTTGGTCGCCCAATAGGATAATGCCCACCCAGTGAAAACGGAGTGAAAGAGAGTGAACATAGAATGACGTCCTTGAAACCAAAGACAGCCTACACCTATGATTCGCTGTTAAATGATCGTCGGCACACGGCTTCGCGCCCACTGTCAGTGGCCGTTGTACGCTCCTTTGGGGATTTCAATCACAATTGGACCTGCCAAAAGCTCCACTCCACCAAGGCACGCTAGTGGTGGTGCTGCTGATGGAGCTGCTGGTGGTGGAGGTCCCAAGGAAGGTGGTGCTGCTAGTGAGGCTGCTCATTGTGCTGGTGCTGAATGTGCCTTGGGGCAATCAGGAATGTGAATTCTTTTTGATGATCGTAGGAATATAAGGCTGTATGTTTGCAGTATATATGCATGCTCTGGCATGCTCTTGAAACTGCCGCAGTCCAGCACGCCAAGACTACAGTCCCAAACAGAGTAACCTTCTTCTTGACCTGGCCCCCCAGTAACAAACCAGCGACCACTGAAGCCAATCTTCTCTGTCTGCAATAGAGCTAAATGTAGGGTCCTTCTGAGCTTCCAAAAACACAGCAGTGAAAAGGGTCGTCCGAGACTGTCTGGAACTAAGGCATGCTGATTATGCATGTAATACAAACCTCCAAAAGGAGAAACCAACTCTGAGTGGCCAAACCTAATAATCTACCAGAAGCACTCATATCCGGCAACTTCCACATCTTGTAAATCAAATCCAGATCCTTCAGATCCTTTGTGTTGGCTCGTGGCAGAAGACGGTAGTCACACAAGTCACTTTCAGAGCGGTGTGTTGCCAAGTGGCTACTGGTCGTGCTGTGCGTGGACGAGCTGGTGGTCAGAGTAGAGCTGCGAGACGTGCTAGTCATTGAAGAGGTGACACCTCCATCAGCTGGTGTGTGAAAACTCATGAAAACTTCACACCAATTGTCGAGGATCGCAACCACTTTCCCTCTCACATGTCAGGAAGATTTAGCCTAGAAGTAAGAGCTTTGAAAGAAGAATGGTGTTTAAGTTTAGAACATTTTGCAGCAGGACTTCGCAACAAACTGCCGGGTAGCTGATCCACGCCCCAGTATCAGGTGCAAAACATTGCAAAACCGTTAATATTCCATGTGAAAAGATAACGGCATGTATGCAGACAGTTCAATGCTGTGCGTGCAGTACACACACACACTCCTTCCTTGAACATTATACTTGTATGTGTTGTACATGTTGTGCTGATATATTTGCGCTTGGGAGTACAACCTCGGAGGAAAAACACCTGACGACTGATTCCAAGAGAGAAACGCAAGTGTATTCACGGATTGCATGCCAATGAATGGTGGCAAGAGCTTCTCGCATTGACAATTGAATGGCGCCAATAAAGAGCTTATAATTGATCATCAAATGGACAGCTAGTTGGAAAGGGATTCTATGCAATCCTCCCAACTTTTCTGCCCAGTCACTGGTTCGAGTGGTAGTGAGCGAAGTGGTGGTCTGCGATGTGGTACTGGCAATGCAGGGCTCAACCATTAAAAAATGGACCCCGCCTAGTCCAGCTAATTCGAATGGTTGACACCACTGACGGCCCTCATGCCTTTCACACACGACTATATACCATCTCGACGGTTTCATGCGTAGTGTGGAAGCCCGTCCTGGACTTCGTGATGGAGCTTGATGTACTTGTGGCACTAGTGGAGGTGCTTGTACGAGTGGAGGTGCTGGTAGCACTGGTGCTGGTCACGGAAGCCTGATGTCTACCATAGCCGAGTCAGACGCTGGTGAGGTGAAGCTCTTCGGGTCATGAGCCTGGTGGAACTCTCAAAGACTCTCTGGAGCTCTGTGGATGGAGAACGCAAACAAAGGGTGTATTAGGGTGTACACAGCATCATAGACTCTTTGACGTGGTGTCAACACCAATCAGTGTTTTGGAGTCACTTGATTCCCTGCGTGCAGTGGCTGAGAAACAAAGAATATGCAGGTGTTGCAGCACAGAAAGCAAGTTAGAGAAAGAATGAACAAGAAGAGTGCTCGAGACTCTCGGCATCTCCCTTCTCCCAAAGGTGCTGCTCCCACCAACAAAGGGCATGTTGCCATGTTGGGATCGCAACTTAGGATCACAGCGGTGTCTCCATATGTGATGGTCTGCTTTGTGGCCCTTGAACCCTGTTCGACCCCCCAAAATCAAGGAGGCCAGGGTGCAGTCCGAGTGGATGTCCTTGGCAGTATGGGACAGCAAAACCATTTGGCTGAAAGTCTACCACGGCCATCATAAGAGCATCAAGGTTCAAGAATGCTACCTCTCTGCAAAAGCTTTGGGGCCAGCATCAACAAAAACACATAGAAGGATGTGAAAACCTCCTCATGCACATTCCTAGAAGTCTGAGATTGTCAAGGAGAACAGTCCAAACAAATGGAACGTTGGCTTTGGACCAGGATTCATACAAAACTGGTACAGTAAGTTGGTGGCCTTTCCAATGCTGAGGGAGTGGCATGCTTGTGGAAGAAGTGGAAGTGCGGGTCATTGTCGTGGCCGATGAAGCTGAGCAACAAAGCCAGCATTGCAGATTGCAGGCAAGCTGAGAGCAAGCCCACCGCTGGACAGCACAGATGTTACAGGAACGTCAACCAAAGACGTTCTGAAAAAAGAATGTTCAGAAGGCCCTGCTGGTTTTCCACAATCAACGCCAGCACTGCTGAAGTGGCCTTCACCTACTTGTCGGAATTTTTGAGTGAGCTATGAAAGTGCATGTCCTCTTGGCTTTGTCTGTCTAGCAGTTGTGGGGCTGTGGGGACGCCCGGACAAAAATGACAATCTTGTGAAAAAGTAATAAAAGTATACTAGGAGCAAGGACGCTACTAAGGGCTCCTGGCCTTACTACTAGGAACAAGAAGCTACTAGGGGCTCCTGGCATCGCTGCTCGGAGCAAGGACGCTACGAATGGGGCTCACAAATCGGCTGTGGGCATGTCAAGTCACTCATTGTAGAAGAGCTCGTTGTCCGGGTAGTGGTGCGAGAGGTCGTGGACGTGCTACCTGGACAAGGGTGCGCGGCGTTCTCATGTTATATTACAGTAATTGGGACATCCCCATGCACCAGGGTGGAACTTGAACCAAAAGGGCAGACCATCCCAATCTATATAAGGGGCAAAATGATTGGA